TATATATATATATATATATATATATATATATATATATATATATATATATATATATATGTATATGTATATAATATAGTCTGCATACAAACGAACAAATCGCCCCCACGCCATTCTCTTTGCACCCCGCAGAGAAACGACAGCAGCAGCAGCAGCAGCAACAAAGCAAAATACAGCAGCAGCAGCTGCTGCTGTCTCTGCTTCTGCTGCTGCTTCAGGCTGCTCTATATGCACAGCAGTAGAATCAGCAGCAGCAAGAACAGCAGCAGCTGCAGCAGGAGCAGCAGCAGCTGCAGCAGGGGCAGCAGCAGCTGCAGCAGGAGCAGCAGCGGGTGCAACACGGCTATTCGGTGCTGCTGCTTCTGCTGCTGTTCCCCCTAAGACCTCATATGGTATCTGCCGCCGCGGCCTGCAGCAGCAGCAGCAGCAGCTGCTGCTGCTGCTGCAGCTGCTGCAGCTGCCGCCTCTACGCTTGAAGGATACGAAGGCGGACAGCAGCAGCACTGCTCCTTCAGGACACACCGCAGCAGCAAACGCAGCAGCAACAGATGCAGCAGCAGCAAACGCAGCAGCAGATGCAGCAGCAGCAGATGCAGCAGCAACGCATGCAGCAGCAACACATGCAGCCGCAGCAGCAACAGATGCAGCAGCGCGTAAACAAATGCAACAGACGCAGCAGCAACACATGCAGCAGCAACACATGCAGCAGCAACGCATGCAGCAGCAACACATGCAGCCGCAGCAGGCGCAGCAGCAACAGATGCAGCAGCGCGTAAGCAAATGCAATAAATGCAGCAGCAACAGATGCAACAGCAACACATGCAGCAGCAACAACGCATGCAGCAGCAACACATGCAGCCGCAGCAGGTGCAGCAGCAACAGATGCAGCAGCAGCAGAGGTAGCAGCAAATAAGTAACAGCAACAAATGCAGCAACAAATAAATAAATGCAACAAATGCAGCAACAAATAAATAAATATAAATTAAATAAAAAATAAAAAATAAAAAAAAATAAAAAATAAAAAAATAAAAAAATAAAAATAAAAAGGTCAAGTGCCGCAAACTTCAGAAAAAGACGCCGCCAACAGCTGCAGCAGCAGCAAACAGACGCAGCAGCAGCAGAGTCGAGCAGCAGCAGCAGCAGCAGAAGCAACACCAGCAGCAGCAGCCACATATAGCAACAGCAGAAGCAGCAGCAGCAGCAGCATGAGCAGCAGCAGGAGCAGCAACAGCAGCAGCAGTCCAACCCATCAGCAGCAGCAGCAGCAGCAGACGCAAGAAATGCATGCACTATGCATGCACTCCTATTCATGCATACAGCCCCAGTGGGGTGTATATGCAGCATGCATGCATGCATGCATGCTGCATATACACCATACATGCATGCATGCATGCTGCATATACACCATACACGCATGCATGCATGCATGCTGCATATACACCATACATGCATACATGCATGCATGCATGCATGCATGCATGCATGCGAGGCTGCGGTGTACATACACCTACCTAGC